TTGAACTCAGGACCCTGCGCTTGCCAGGCAAGTGCTTTATTCTACTGAGCTCTCTCCAGCCCCGTATTTTCTTTTCAGGGATTGAACTTAGGACCTTGCACTTGCCAGGCAGGCACTTATGCCACTGAGCTACATCCCCGGCCCCCTACCCTATTTTTCAAACTGAGCAACCACATAGAATAGAGGGAGGGGGCACAGCTAAGGGACCGCCCTGTTCCGTGGGATTACTCCCGTGGCAAAGGCACAGGGACTGTCCAGGGGGGCTGCCTCCAAGAGGTGCTCGTCCTCACCTCCCTCCATGCCTGGACACAACGCTAGGCTGAGGGCTGAGCCCCAGGGGACCCCCACAAAGCCCCCCTTGGATTAGCCAGCTTGGTTTGGTACCCAAGGACAGGGCAAAGGGAAGAGGATGCTGTGCAGACCCTAGTCCCATGGGTCTAGAGCTGTGCGCATCGCGGTCCTTGCCGCCAGCATCGTGGCCCCTCTTCCCCGGCTGCCATCAGGCAGGACCTACCAGTGATGAAGTAGCGCCAGCACGTCCAGATGCCTTGAGGATCTCTGCTGCCCAAGGTGAGGTAGGAACTTCAGACATCTGCCAGCAGAACCGGTCCAATCTTCGGGATGGACCCCACTTCCTCAGGGGGGCTTCCAAACACTCCAGGAGTTTCAGTCACAGGAGAGACCTAGACTCCAGGACCCTTAAATGGTTCCTGAAAAAGCAGCCCTAATCCCCACCCTGTGTCTCCTAAGGATTTAACCAGGTGTCCAGGTAGCCACAGAAGGCACCCACTGCTCCCCAGAAACTGAAATCCAGGCTCTTCAGGGGCATCTGCACCTCCACCTGTCCCAGGAGCCACCTTCTCAGCTGGCTGAGAAGGGCAAAGACACCAGCAAAAAGGACTAAGCCACACAAATGATGACAAGCCCCACATTTCACCCTGGGCTACCACCCCCTCACTCCTCTGTGGGGTACCCCAAGAGATATCTCTGTATGATAGCTTCCCTGCTGGGGACCAGTGTGGCAATCCCTGGCCCAGCTGGTGAGGGGGCAGAGAGAACAGAGCACAGGCAGGGCTGGCCCAGGCTGGGTGGTGGGCCTGGTTCATTGAAGGTGGAGAAGGCTTGATCAGAGGCAGTGGCTTGGACCCAGGACCCAGAGGCCAGGAGAGAAGCAGTGTCTGATCAGCCAGCTCAGTGGCCTTCCACAGTCCAGGTAGTGGCAGATGGCCCTGAGGAGAAGGGCAAGGCATGACTCCTGCCATGGCTTGGCTTCAAAGCCTCATGCAGGAGATCCACCCAAGTGCACAGGAGGATGAGCTGATGCCAGGCACCAGGACAGCCAGGCTGGAAAGGTCCAGGGTCAAGACAGGCAGTAGAGGCCTGCTGTTCACAGCAGGGTGGCTGTCAAGAGAGCAGCGTGGGACACAGGGGCTGTGGTGGGAGGAACTAGGAGTCTGCAGGCAGCTCCTCGTAGCCACAGTGGTTGGGCTGGGCAGAAAAGAGGTGGCCCTAGGAGGTCGGGCGACATGCCTCAGGCCTTCACAGGCCCCCACTCTGTCCACTTCGCCAGGTTGGTGGCCTCCCGGTCCCTCCCAGCTCCACTGACAAGGGCTGGAAAGGTGCTGGGCTCTGCCCAGCGTGGGTACAGAGGACGGCAGCATGCTGTGTGGTCCAGGGAAGAGGGCGTCTACCATCTCGTTTTATTTTGCGGGGAATGAGCCTAAAGTAACCAGAAAGAATAAGAGTCAAGGGGAGGGGCCCTACTGCTCAGGGGCCCAAGCACTGGTTTTTACTAAAAACAGTAAATGAATGTTTTAATCCCCAGGGCCTGGTACATTCTGAATATAGAAGCAGAAGTTTGGGAGAAGTTTTATTTTTCTTCCGGCCACCTTTCTCTTCCTCTCAACAAAAACATTTTTCTATAACTGGTGTCAGAAAATAGCTTCTGACTTGTTGGAAAGAACCTCCAAAAGCCTGGAGTCCCTGTCCACGAGGCGGGACACTGCTTATCTTCTCCTCGGGGCCGGCAGCGCTGTTCACAGCCCAGGCTGCTGGGACCCACAGGCAGTCCCCAGGAGGGCCACAGAGAAAGGGTGTGGGTCAGCCTTGCTGTGGCCACTTGGAGGTGGTGCGGCCTCTCTGGGTTACCTTGCTTACCTCCGCAGACATGGGGGAAGGTGAGCTAGCTGTGCCTAGGGTTCTATTTTACCCTCAAATGATACCACTCCGGGGTTTTAGCTCTGGCTCGGGAGCAGAAATCTAATTCCCCTTTCCATCTTTGGTTAAGATTTAACTAAACTGCTGAGGAATGGCTTTTGCTGACTGTGAAATACAAAGCAAATGGACATGTCACTTCCTGACCCACGCAGTGCCTGGCCAGGCCCCTTCTACCAGTACACCACACCTGGTGCCCTGAGCCATTCCGCCCACGTACCACACAGCAAGACCTCACAGCGCGGAGCAGTGGGGATTCTCCACCTCGCCCCTGAAGGGCTCCTTCCTCTCTCCTCCTCCGCCTACCGGAGCTGAGATCAGTTAGCCCAGGCCCTGAAAGCCCCCGCTGGGTCTGCCTGCCCTGCTGTCTGTCTCCTTATACAGCTAGTGATGGGGTCCCCAAGTTAAGTCTCTTAGGTCACAGGAGCCCACACGCGGAGTTGTACGCATCCTAGGCATCAGTGAAACCCAAGATGTTCCCACTGCATTCAATGTGGAGGGAGGGTCCTTCACTGAGACTCCTGCCCTGGGGAGGCGTGGGATCTTTTTTTTTTTCCCTTTTGCAATACTGGTGACAGAACCCAGGGCCTTTACCCTGTGCTACATCCCCAAAGGTGTTTTATTTCTTGAACAGGTTCTTGCTATGTTGCTAAGTTGCCCAGGCTGGGCTCCCAGCGAATGAACTTCCTGCCTCAGCCTCCAGAATGCTGGGGTTACAGATGTGCCACATTACAGCCAGGGTGCACAGGCTCCTTAACTCCGGGTGGAGACCCCAGCAGCAGCTGGCACTGTGAGAGGTGAAGAAAGGGAGATTCCCACTGCCCTTGGAGGAAGGCAGCCGCCTCGTGTAAAACTGAAAGCCCCTTCAGAAACCATGAACCCAGAGCACGAGTTAATAAAGCAGAAATGTGTTTATTAAGCCCCCTTGTTCCTCACAGGGGAGCAAAAACCCAGGCCAGAAGCGCCTGCTCAGAGGCTGCAGGCCTCTCCAGAGGACGTAGGCGCGGACTGGCCACCACCCCAAGAACACTATTTGGCTGGAGCCAGACTGCTGGAGTGGCCCCGGCTTTACACAGCCGGGCTGGTTCATGGACTCCACAAACACTGAATGGGTGGGGCCCCAGGGACCCTCACCAGAGCCTTGGTGGGCAGGAAGACCTCGAAGCTCTGAGGCACAAGCTGTCCCCGCCAGCGAGCGGAAGGATGTTCCCAGAGTTGCTCACCCAGGCGAAGTCCCCAGGACCCTCCCCAAATCCACCCGCCTGCTGTTGGCACGGCCACTGCCTCAGTCCCACACATAAGGGTTTCTAAACACCTGAGAGTTCTTGCTGTCTTTGTACGGCGTGGCCACCTGGTGGCTCTGGACTATGTACATGTCCTCAGCCCGCAGCGTCGAGTTGGCACTGCCCATCACCTGGCTGTTGGCGGTGGCCCGTGGGAGGATGACGTCGTAAGCGCCTTCAGACTGGAAAGGAAGAACAGGCGGCCTCACAGCCAGGGGGACCGGGAGCCAGGCTCCGCCAGGACGGATGCACAAACACTCTGCTTCCTGCAGGCTTCTGCCTGCCAGCTCCCCCTTCTCGTCCGCTCTGTCCCCACTCCCGGCCCCACTGCCAGCCTGGGGTGGTTCACTGTACCCCTAGAATCTGAGGGCAGACGTGGAGCCTCTAATCCTGCCTCTAGGCCTGGGATAAAGCTGCCTAGGGGATTCCTTGGAGCAGGATCTTCTCTCCCAGCCCTTCAGGGAAAGCTCAAGGCCAAGGGAGGGGGACCTGCACTGGCGCTGAGTGGCTATTACCGGCTGGTGCTACTCCTAGGTGAACCTTACCCTGGGGTTCCTGAATGTCACTATAATACCAGATGCCCTTCTGTGTGGGACATCCAGGACATCACCACACAGCCCTGGTCTAGGAATCTGGGCTGGCCATCTGGATTCAGAGACTAACAGCTAAAAGGATCCAGAGCTTGGCTGGGGAGGGAAGGAGGGTCCTGGGGCAGCCAGGGCCACCTGGAAGGAAGGTGACCTCCTGGCCTCCCTGGTCTCCTTATCCTGGTAGAAGAAGAGTACCACTAAACCTCTGGCTCCGGGGCCTCAACCCAGCCTTGGCCACCTGCTTGCAATCTCCTACTTCCTGCTGCCCCAGGGAATATCTGAGCCAGTGGTCTCAAACCTGGACCAGTGCTATTGGTTAGGCCAGGCCTCTCAGAGCGGGGCCCCACAGAGGGAGGGAAGCCAGTAAATGTTTAACACCTGGGATGAGGAGGAAGGAGCCTGAGGATTTGATGAAGTAGTTACACCCACCGCGGGGAGACCCAGCCTACTCAGGTGATGTCAACAACGCCAACAGTGCCAACCCTCTCGCCCAGCTCTGGCCCCACCAGACCTGCATTTGCAGCAAGTTCGCAGGTGATACTAACTCTGTGGTCTGAAGATAAGGAAAAAGTTTGCCAGCTAGTCCAGACCCTCCTCGAGACACCCTGGGAGGGAGGGAGGGAAGATTGGGGGGGGGGCACGGCTCCTAAGGAAAGGGTACAGTGGCTGCCATGCCCTGTGGGTACACAGCTTGTGCCCACCATAGCTGCTGGCAGCGGCCTGGCTGCAGGTTCAGGCTCAGGGAGAGCAAAAGAGCTGGGGTTGGAAGTCTCAGACACCAGAGCCACCGCAGCCCTCCTAGGATCACGGCAGAGGGGGGAGGGGACGAGAACTGCACCCTGCTGACCTCTGGAGGTGGGGAGGGGATGAGAACTGCACCCTGCCGACCTCTGGGCTTCCTGTTCCCAGCATTCTGCCAAAGTAGGTCGCTGACCTCCCCCACAGCCACTGCCAGCCGGGAGGAGGAATATATAGGGAGTGGGAATCTCACCCACCGCCTTCCTGTCCCCAACCCCCACTCCTAGGCTAAGAGCATCTGGCTTCCAGAGCCCTGGGGAGGTGTAAGGTCGGGACTGGCCGCTGACTGGCTGCGGACTGGCAGGGGGAAGGGATTCCTATTCCCTCCTGAGACAGCTGCGTGGAGAACTTAATACCTTCCCAGACCTGCTACAAGTTAGTTGGCCCCTGTCACTTTCAGGAGGAAAATTCTCTGTCCCTCTCCATCTGGCCACTCCCCCTGGGCTGTGTGTGATGCCCAAGGTCCCGCTGCAGAGTAGCCACATGCGGGGGGCTACATCAAGCCAGGAAAAGGGCAGCAAGAAGTAGAGTGTCCCCAGTGCACACCCCGGATGAGGACCAGCCTCGGCTGTCATCTCCACGGCCGGCAGGAAGGCTCCACAGAAGCCCAGAAGCCCACTCACCGGGCCTTTGTGCATGAGGGCCATCTCGGTGGGCTGGTACACACTGGTCAGCAGTTGCCCGTTGTAGCCGCTGTAAGGTGACACAGGCCTTTTAGCTGTAAGGAAGGACAGGCACAGTTTGAGGACTCTGGACTCTCAGCCCTCCTCTGTCATCTCCCAGAACCCATGTAGCCCTGTCCTGTGGGGAGAAGGGGAGCCGGATACCACAGCAGCCATGGTGGGGCACCTACCTCACCCAGAAGTGGCTGACTTGGAGGTGAGGCTGGTGTGGGCTGAGGAGGGGTCATGCCCAGTGCCTTTTTGTACAGGCGCATAGATCTCAACATTGCTTGGTTCCCTGCAGTGTGAGATGCCTGCCCCCCCCCCCGCCGCCCCCAGAACCCCTCCCCCCTTCAGAAAAATGCCCACTCAGCAAGCTTCACATTCCCCACAAGCTCTCAGGGCCAGATGCCAGCAGGGGCCCTTGGGCCCTCGCCTGCCTTCCAGGATGGCCAGCCCCTGGCTCCAACCTCTACCACCACAGCTGCCAGGGGAAACACAGCTGAGCCCCTCAGCCCAAGAACTTCCATGTCCTCACAGAGCAGGGCCAGCTGTCTCGGCCCCTCAATACGAGCCTAGGTCCTGGCCAGGAGACCATGACAGTGCCTTCCTAGGCCCCAGGCAAGGTTTCAGAAGCATCTGCAGCTTCAAGAATACTTTTCTGGGGGGCTGGAGAGATGGCTCAGTGGTCTAAAGCACCTACTTGAAACAAGCTTGGCAAAGCACAGGGACTGCGGTTCGATCCCCAGCACCACATGCCAGCCAGACCCGCCCCCTGGTGGGCTGAGCTGGCCACACACACACACAATAAATAAATGTAATAAATAAATATATTTAAAAAAAAAAAAAGAATACTTTTCTGTGCCTGGGGATGTTGCTTTCCCACTGACCAGGCCTGGGGCCCAGGAGGGGGTACAGTAGCAGTATAGTGCTGTCCCCTCCTGCAGGGCTGAGGGACCACTGTCCAGAGAGGGCTTCTCAGTGTGGTGCCCATTCATCATTTAGACAGACAGACAGACAGACAGACAGACAGACAGAGAGCGCAGCACTCACAGCCCTGAAGCCTTTATCACCTGAAGACAATAGCTGAGAACTCTCAGGCTGGGCCTACAAGTCTCAGGGAAGCACTTGGTGGTGGGGAGCAGGGCAACTGGTTCCTAGCCGTCTCTCTCCTCCTGGCTTCCTCCACTGCCCCTGCACCCTTGGTGACCCACTCTGTGTGAGTGCCACAGGTTGCCCCAGGATGGGGGTGGCAGTTGGCCCAAAGCGTGGGTCACACACTAAGTGCCCAGCAGGACAAGGGTCACTCTTTTTCTTCTTAAAACACAGATGATGAGGACCTCACAGTGCAAATGGAAGAGATGAGGATTTCTCTAATTTCAACACCCCCCCCCCCCCGGCCTGCCTCTGACTTCGCAGTAGGGCCCCAGAGTCAGGAGCACAGGGTAAGCCCTCACACTCCTTAATTGGCAGCAGCAGCCAGGGATGGGGTAGTTTCTGGGGCCAAATAAGGGGAGGCTGCAGCCAGGCGAAAAACACACAAAACAACAGGAGCGTAGCACAGGGCCTGGTGCACAGCAAGTGGTCAATAAATGCTAACGATCCTATATGGCTCCAGGATAGCTGTCACGGTTTAGATCTAAAAAGTCCTCACAGCCCTTTGGAAACTGATTAGATTATTTTTGTTTGTTTGTTTGAGACATGATCTTCCTACGCAGTCCAGGCCATCCTTGAACTCGCTAGCTAGCACAGGCTGGCCTCAACTTGTAGCGATCCTCCTACCTCAGCCTCCTGAGCTGCACCACCACGCCCTGCTAATTGAATTAATGAAGGTGTTACGGTGTACTTGCCATATGGTCTTGCCTCTGTTAGGCAAGCACTCTACCACTGAGCCCCACCCCAGCAGCCCCTGAGTTTAGGGACCTTAAATCAGGGAACTTCAAGAGCTGTCCATATCACCCCAATGACAAGCTCCCTGCCCTGCAGTAGGTGCGTGGCACAAAGCAAGAAGACCCAAGAACATCTCTAAACCCACCTGAGGCTGGCTCATCCATTGAAAAGGCCTTGTTCTCCACAAACATGCTCTGGCCCGTCTGCTCTTTCAAGATGGTCTCGTAACCCACGCCTCGGGTAGGGTATATGTCTCCCTGGTAGCTCTGCTCTGGGCTGGCCTTGGTCACCTGGGAGACCTCAGGGATGACGTAGAAGAGAACAAAAGCCCAGGCATTGGCAGCAAGGGCAATGGCCAGCGTGGGGTCATCCCAGGTGGGGCTGTTGTGTTGCTTGTTGCCATAGGTGTACATGACAATCCACACCACCCAGATAGCAATTGAGGTGGCTGTGGTGAGGAGCACAAAGACACCGTGCTTCCGCCACCGCTTAAAGCGGCCACAGAGGGCGGGCCAGGCCCCCACGAAGGCCCCCAGCAGCAGCAGCATCACATAGATGAGAGCCATGACAAAGTCCATGTTGGCGATGGTGCAGCGGGAGGCCACAGTCCAGTCGGCACTACCGTTGCCCAGAGAGCCAACCTCACCACCTCCTCGCACCAGGGTGAGGATCAGCCACTCTGTGTTGATGATGACCTCCACAAGGGTCAGCAGCAGAGCCACAGCAAAGATCACCCAGCCCTGGGGCCCATGGTTCTTCCGGGCAAGGAAGTTAAGGGCAAAGACATGAGCCACCAGACAGGAGAAGCAGATGGCAAACAGGACCCCAAAGAGGAACTGCCGGGAGGCACAGGTGGAAAAGTCGGGCTTCACCACACAGGCGAACACAAGGCAGAAGAGGCCCAGGGTCCCCAGTAGGAAGAACACCTGGGTCCCCAGCAGGCTCCGTTTCTTGGTGTCCTGAACAAAGGGGAGACTGGCCACTAGGATGATGGTGAGCACAAAGGTGGTGACGATACCTGCCCCAGCTACTGCCTCCAAGACGATGCCCCAAGCCCCAGAGCGGTCACACAGGTTGTAGTAGAGGGAGTTGAGGTCTGAACTGCAGCCAGGTGGGGCAGATTTCTGGGCCTGGGCTTCTGGGAACAGGAAGAGAAGGAGTCCTAGGCACATCAGCAAGGCCTTGTGGGGGGCCATCCTGGCTCCCAGGCCAGGTTCCAGGTGGGTCCCTAGAGATAGAAAGAAAAGAGGCAAAATCAATCAGTCCCCTGAAGCCAGGTTGCAACATGCATAGTGTGGCTTCCTCCATCCTGAACCAGGGTGGAGGGTCCTAACTGGTTAGGAGACTTCCTTTGGCCTTGAGAATCCTTCTTCACATTGAACTCATGACTATCTAGTGAGTGACCAGAGATGAAACCCATTTGTCATCCCTATTTCTAATCATACAATAGGAGGTAACGGTTCCTGGATTTTCAGTTCTTTCTCTTTCATCTGTCACGACCTGGATTCGAATATTCTTTGAGGTCCTGTGGTCTGAGTAGGCGTGAAAGGGCATATGAGTGAGTTGGACCAAGCACCCCATCACTCAGGACTTCAGCTGTCCTGGAGGTGCTCCGGTGCTCCGTGGCTAGTCAACCATGCTTTTTCTTCATTCAGTCATTTGCCATTCAACACATACTTAACAAGCAGCCACGGCAGGCATAACCTTGAGTCAGACAAAAAAGAGAGCTGAGAATTGGTATTTATGGACTTTTCATCCCTCCTGCAGGCTCTCAGTTCTGCCCTTCATTTCCCCACTTTCAATGCCAGCTTTCCTTTTCAGAATCCAGAGTTCTTTGTCTGGCTCAGATGCTAAAGTCAAGGATAAAACAAAGCAGTTCTCCTGCTAAGGAGTTAATGACTTCATACAAAAGTTCTCCCATAGGGCATTAACATTTTAAAAGCAAGAACCAGGCAAAAGCAGTGCAAAACCCAAAGGAATTTATCTTTAATGGAAGATGTTAAGACCTTGTAGCTAGACAAGATCTATTAACACCAGGAAGATGCCTTATTACCGTGACTCTCCATACCTGTTGCATTTTCCCTGCGTGAAGCAGAAGTAAAGGATATTGCAGATTATGATAAATTAAAGAAGTGGTGGGGGTGCAGCTCAGTGGTACAATGCTTGCCGGGCATGTGCAAGGCCCAACAGTTGACACCTGGCTATTTCCAATAAGTACACAAAGACCAAATCTGTGAGTGTCCCAACTAAAATGCAAATTCTCTAAAAATCAAGTTATGACATCCAAAGTTGCAAATCCAAAACGCAGGTCCTCACAGTGTTTTAGCCCTGCCTTTTTCACCTCACCAGGACTGAGGCTCCAGATCGCAACCAAGCTTTCCTGGGACAGTAGCGACCACTAGAGGCGGGCAGGGGAATGACATTATCTTTCTTCCCATCATTTCTCTTCCTCTTGCGGGTGGGAGTGTTTTGTAGTTTACTTCTTATCCATTTTTGGACATATTGAGCTACTTAATTTCTAGTAAGAAACAAAATCTCAAATTTCAATCAGTAAGGAATTGTTTCATCATACTAATTGATAAGCGAGAAAATGCTTGTTCAGCAAAAATGAAACTTGTAAAGTTGACATAATGATCAATTTTCAAATCTTCCTATGCTTGAAAATACACATTTTAGGTAGAAAAATCTATCTCTGCTACCACCTCATCTTTCAATTAATCTCGCTTATCATCCTCAAGAACTGTCTCTATTAACCCTTATGACGATATTCTTTTTTTTTTTTTAAACATCTCTTTTTTTTTTTTAATTTTATTTATTTATTTTATTTATTTGTTATTTGTGTGTGTGTGGCCAGCTCAGCCCACCAGGGGGCGGGGCTGGCTGGCATGTGGTGCTGGGGGATTGAACCGCGGTCCCTGTGCTTTGTTTGCTAAGCTTGTTCTGAGTAGGTGCTTTAGACCACCGAGCCATCTCACCAGGCCCTATGACGATATTCTTACATAAGTTTACTGTTTCTCTAAACACTGGCACTGACACTAATTTCTTTCCCTTTCTAATGCAGAAGAACCTTTCCCCAACAGCCATGATGCAAGCTCTTGAGGCAGACTGTTGTGAGAGTAATAACAAGTTATTCCCAGTGACAACTTATAGATAACATGCTAGAGAATCCTGAACATTGAACTCCATTGTGGAGGTTTTTCGGTGCAGGCTGAGCCAGCCAGAAACCAGGTACAGATGGAAATGTGGAACTGAACTCCAAGAACCACCGAGACAGCATCTCCCCTCCCCTCCCCGGGCTGAACAAGCCATTATTCCCAATAAGGAACCTGGGACTCTCAAGGGGACAGATCTTATTTTCTGAGCATTGCTTGTAATCTCAGCACTCTGGGAGGCTAAGGCAGGAGGATGGAAAAGTTCGAATGCAGCCCAAGCAACTGGGTGACTCTAACAAGACCCTTCTCAAAAAAAAAAAAAAAGGAATCACTATAAATGCTGATATAAACTTTTCTTTTTTTTCTATGACTTTTCTTTTGAATTTACCAAAGCGCATGGGCCTGAGTTCAATCCCTGGAGCAAAAAAAAAAAAAAAAAAAAAAAAAAAAGCGTGGGGGCCAGGGATATGGCTCAATGAAAAGGTCCTGGGTTCAATACCCAGTGCAGAAAAACAAAAATATCATAGTACAAGTTCACAGCTGATAACAATATAATATCAGCCTATGTCCTGCTGACCCTTAGCACCCCACAGGGACATGGACTAGGGTTAGAGTCAGGATGCCTTTACACACACACACACACACACACACACCGATTTATTCCTAGCTTTGCTATTGGCTAACAAACTTCTTCCTGGAACTTACCCTTCCTGTCACTGCTTCTTCCCTATGTGCAAACGTCAAGGAATCAGAGGAATCAAGGAATCACCACTTACCCCATGCTAGTAACCATGCTGCTGCCCAGCTGCCCTATAACACACTAGCCTCAGATGAAAGAACTATTCTTGTCCCAAAATGTCTTATTTCTCTTCTTCCCCTGAAAATAGAAAGGCAGGTAGGGAGACGGAAACACACAGGCTCGGGTGGGAAAATTGAGCCAGCTAGGCCTGGTTCGTCTCCCCTGCTTAGGACAGAAACCTGTAGAGACTAGTGGGAGAGTCCAAGAGAGGAAGGCACTGAAGGGCTCTGCTCCAACCTTTTGATATCCAGGACAGCATATTCAGCCAGTTACCTTTTAAGATGGTGGCAGAGGGCCTAGCAAGAGGCATGTAGCTCTGCCTGGAGGCTCTTCCCCCAGGGTCTGGAAGCATCTTCTTTTTGCCTCCCATGAGCCCCCAGACCCCGCACTTAGACTGAGGCAGCAATCTTTGAACATCTGAATCACTTCTGCATCCTCTACCAGAACGTATGCCTGAGGCTGGGGACCAAGGCTTAGCATCCTCTGTACCTTCACGGGTCTTGAACACAGCAGACATTTGACAGCAGTCCTCTGAAGGCACACAGTATCCCTCTTCCCTACCCAGTCCCACCTCCTTCTTCCTGGAGTCAGAACTCTTGCTTAAAAGTTTTCAGAGGATCCCAGGAAGTCAGTGGGAGAAGGACCTCCTGCCCTGAAACTCTATCATATCCTATCACTCAGGCCCAGCCTCAGAACATTTTCTTGAGGAAAGAGCCCTTTGGCTTCTATTCCCTGGAATCAGTCATGCAAATATTTTTAAATTATCTCTGAAATCAGCCTCTCCTAGTCTCAGCCACCCAGTGCCTAGCTCTGGTCTGAATCAGTCCAATCCAGTTCCAAAATCCCCTTCCTCCTTGTTTTCTCTCTCAGGACACACACACACACACAGGCCTCCTCAACACTGGTGGGCTGAGGCCCAGCCAACCCTGACTGGTTCCATCCAGTACCAGATAAGTCAGCTAACCATGCCTTCACCTCTTTCCAGAACACCCCTTTCATGACCCTACCTCATCTGCAAAAAAGCCTGAAGAATGTTTGAACTTCAGGAGGCGGCCTTGGTTGGTGGCCAAGCTCCAGGACACAGTGCAAGGTAAGCCAGTGGTTGCTTCCAAGGGTGTGGTGGCCATTTAGAGCTCCTCCCCTCCCTCCTTAGCTGGGATGGTCAGTCAGGGACATCACATAGGATCTTCCTTCCTCCCTGGCTGCCCTCACTCAAAAGCTGGCCCAGAAAGATAGGTGGACCTGTCAGCGGCCTCGGGCCTCCTCCCTCCTCCCATCTTATCCTCCATCTCCTTTCCTTCCTGGTCTCTGTTAGGCCTGTGTGTTTTCCCTCCGTCCAGGGGGCTTTGATGTTTGACCCCTCCTATAAGAAAGAGCGCTGGAGATCACATGCGTACACGCGCGCGCGTGCACACACACACACACACACCCCAAAAGTGGACATTTGGACCAAAACGCCCCAAGAGTCTGAGGCTTCTAAATCTGCAGTGCGAGGGGCTGCTCAGGAATGTTACTCTGGAATGCGCCCCACCCCCAGCAGCACTCCCCTCTCAGCGCCAGCCACTTCTGAAGCCTGGGGGGTGGGGGTATGTCTCCAGCCACAAAACCCAACTTGTACACATCCTGGTCTCCGCGCTTTAGGATCAAGGTTGTGGAGTTTTAAGTGATTCGATCTCTCTGGGCGTAAAACTGCAGAAAGGGCGCTGGAAAGGGGAGGCTGGGGATGGGATCAGAAGTTAAGCTGGCAGAAGCAGAGGCGCAGTTACACAGTCCCAAATTCCAAACTTCCAGTAGGAAGATCCTAGCCCTTCCTTCCCCACTGCAGCCTGGGCGGCTGGGGTCTGGTCTACCCCCGGACGGGCGGACAGAAAGCGCAGGGGAGTCAGCCACTCTTCCCACATTTCCTCTGACCCAATCAACCGCCCACCCCAACCCTAGCGGGACACCGACCCACAAGAGTGACAGTCGGCCATGGACTCGCGCTGAGAGGCAGGGAGATGAGGGGACACCCTCGGACACACTGCCCGGGGAGTCCTTCCCCGCCCTCAAACCTGAGCCGCAGCGCCGGCTTCCCCCCCCCCCCCCCCCAGACCCCAGCTGACTCGGACTGGAAACTTTGTACAACCTAGCGGAGTTGGCGCGGCGTCCCCCGCCCCTTGGGTCCCAGCCGCCTGCCTCTTGCCCTCGCCCACTCCCTGCCAGCCCGGCCCGGCTCTTCCGAGGAGAGGGAGGAGGGGGCAGGCGGCAGCCCTTACCTGGGACGCGCCGCCCGCCCGGCTCTGGCGCGGTGTCCGGGGCCAACTCCAGCCCCAGGCCGAGCGCGGGCGGGGGTGGGAGGGACCCAGCTCAGGGGCAGCGGGCCAGGCCCAGCCCTGGCTGGGACTGCGGGGCCCCTGCAGGGGTGCGGGGCGCAGGGCCGGCCTCCCCGGGACCCGGGCTGCGCTGGGCGCGCAGGGTCGCTCGCTCTGGGGCCGGCCTCTCCTGGCGCTGCGCTCCTTTCTCTCGGCGAGGCTGGGCCGGCCTGCATCACCGTGACATCACCTCCATTCAAGGCGCCCATGGGGCGCCCGCAGAGCTCCAGGTAGGTGCAATCCATTTGCTCTGTAACAAAGCCCGCCCCGCCCTCGCCGAGCGACTCACCTCCAGGCTCGGCGAGTCGCACTTTCCAGCCGGGGAAGGGAGATCAGAGTTTCTGACCAAACCGGCGAAAGGGTTGTTGCTGTTTACTGCCACGCCCCCCGCCCGCGGGCGCGCGCACACTGGCGCGCACTTACCGGGCTAGACTTCGCTCTGGAAAGCGGTTTGGGGTACTATCCGGCTCACCCTTCCCCCCCTGGCAGGCTCTCGCTCCCCACATCTCCTAGTGCTCTGGTGCAACCGACTGGAGCAGGAGCTGCCTTGGCGTGGCTCTCTCGGTGGCGGACACCCAGCCTTTGTCCCCTTCATCCCGGCTGTCCCTTGGGCCACTTGCTGGGCACAGTGGGCTGCTCCTGGCTGTCGCGAAGCGCTCACTCAGACGCACAGTCCGTCTTCGTCGCGCGCCCTCCCACTCCAGAGCTTGCGCACGTGGCCACAGCACACACCGATCCTTTACCTCTTCCACGCGCGCACAGACCTCCCTGAGATCTCAGGTGCCAAGATTGCGTGGGAATGCCACTGGGGCAGAGCCCAGAACCATCATGGGGTGCCGCGGGCAAAGGATGCCCAAAGCTTGACTACCCGGTGCTCAGAGATCTTGTGACTGCTCCAGATCCTATCCACCCGAAGCAGGCTCTCCTCTCTGCGCCCGGGTTCCCTGTTCTAACTTGTCTGAATTAGCGTTCGGTTTGGCTCCCTGAGGTGCGGTGTTGAACCCGGGCCTTATTTTCTCTGCGCTCCGAGCCAGTTTGGCCCCGACTCTAAATCCTGGCTCTTCCGCGGCCCCCTGACCTTTCCACGAGTACGGTTCCCCGAGCCCCACTCCAACTCCCTCCCCAGGGTGGATTAGCGGGTTGCCCCTTCAGCTCAGGAATCTGCTGAAAGCGGACCGCAGAAATGGGAAAGCAAATCCTGCCTGGGATCTTTCTAGACCAGTAAACAGATTTTCCGGCAGCTTTCCCCTGGGACACGGGCCCAGCTGGAGAGGGACAGTGCTACCCTCAGCGGGCCTAGTGCTGGGTCTGGTTGGCTTGCGGGAGGCCCAAGGGGCCGAGGTACACTGGGAAGGGAGAGGTTGTTGGGCCTAGCAGGGGCCGCTCTGGGGACGTGAGGGAGGGCAGGGAGCCGGGTCTCGGGGTGCTGGTTCTCCTGACGCCAAGTTGCCTGGGGGATCGCCAGCAGCGCTGTCGGAGCCAGCCGGTGGCTGGCCAGGCAGTGGCTGTGTTTGCTCAACCCTGAGCGCCCTGGAGGGGGAGGGGAGGCAGCTGGTCACGGGTGAAGGGGCAGCCAGGTGGGGGCGGGCAGGGAAAGGGGAGGATACCTCCCGGGCTGTTTGTTTGCGAGCTTAGGTCTATGACAACCTGAAGTCTAAAAGTGAATCACCCTGAGCTGCCTGAGCGATAAATCTCAAGCCAGTTCCTCCCTTCTCACACCGCACGGACTTTTCTGATTCTGGAAGCAAATGAATGTTTGCTTAGAGGCCGAGGCTGGCTGTGAGGGCCTGACTTGGTGGAACCCTGTATCCCTTCCTGCGAGTCGCCCTCACAGACTGCTCTGGGGATAGTGGCAAAGACAGAAGTAGCAAAGGCAGCAGCATGCTGGCCTTTCTCCTCTTGCACCTCTTCTAAATGCACTTCCCACCACAAGAGTCAGGGTCGCTGTGTTAAGGTGACAAACCCTGGAATGGTGCTGGGAGTTGGGCTACCCACTCTGGAAAGGCAAGCAGCCACTCAGACCTCAGTGAGTTGGATAAGTCACCCTGAGTTCTAACTGCTTTTCCTTAACCAGGCAAGTAATGGGGGCGGGGGGGGGGGTTTTGGGAGCGTGGTAATTAGCATATGTGATAGCCAGTAGAGCTTAGGGATCAGGATGTTGGAACGCAGTGACCCTAAGGAAGGGAAGATGAGTGGTGTGTCCTGAGGACTCTATTTGCCTTCTAGCTTTGGAAGTCTTTTCCCAACCTGAAGATTCTCCAGAACTGAAGCTTTTGTCCCTGCCTGTCTGCCTGGCTGGACAAGGGGAGGGCTGGGGCTGTTGGAGAGGAGCTTCCTCTGTGGACACAGGGCCTGAGCCTTGCCCTCCAGCCTGCCTCTCTGGGGCTTGCTGTGGAATGTAGGGCAGGGTCTGAGCACTGGTTAGCTTTCCTGTTCACCCTGCTGGCTTCTGGAACAGGATCTGCCTTCAAAGGATAAAGCAAGTCCCCACCCCCCTCAGGTGACCTGGGTGCCTCAGTCTCCAGGGTCCCTGCTGTGTTCAGCATGTGTTAGTGCCCCCCCTCCACCTGTGCTGCTGTGTGTGAGGGGAATTCTGTGGGAGGTACGGTGTGATGCTTTCTAAGACTCCAGCCCCAGGGCCATCTGCGTCTCAAGTGGCTCCACCTGACTGAATAACCCAGTCGGCATGGGATCCATCATGAACTCCCATTTTCTCCCAAAACAACACTCTCCGGTGGGAGACGTAGCTCAGAGGCACAGCTCCTGCCTGGCAAGCACCAACTTGTGAGTTTGATTCCTGGTACCAAATAAAATGTAAACAAAAACAAAAAAGAAACACTCTTAAGCTCCAAAGGCCCTGAAGTTACTAGCTTGTGGAGGAACATACCGTTCACACACACACACAGTAAATTCTCCTGTGCCCCATTTAGGCAGATGAGTTTCTGCTGGCAGGATGACAGCAGAAATGGCAGGATGACACTACCTTTATTCACTTGCCCCTTCTGTGAGGTGCCACGGTGCCCTTACTCAAGAAGTCTGAGATATTGATGAGGCCCTGGTTGGCACCTGCCCCTGTAAGCCAGGAGAATTCACTCATCTCTTTGAGCCTCCCTTTCCTCTACCCTCTGCTCACTAAGCAGGGGATAGAACACCACCCCCAAAATGTACCCTGCCTAGAGTGTTCTTCCCACCAAGCTGGCCTTTACAGATGGCCAGCGTCTAGCCTCTGCTTCCCTGCATTCAGTTCCTCTGAGCCTTAGGCATTTCCACCTAAGAAGCCTACCATCTGAATCCACCATTCTTTTGGCTCCAATTTGCCATCAGCAGAAGTGTCTTGTGAGGCCCTACCCTGGGATCTCACCTGTGTAGGGCTTTTCTAGCCATTACTGCCAGAAGATTTCTTAACACCTGGCCTACCTCAATGTCACTTCTTCTGGGAAGACTTTTTACTTTCTGCAAAAGAACCAACATGAATGGCTTTTTACCCATAGCCCATTATACATTTCTTATTTATCCTAGTGTCTCATAATTAACCTTTTCTTTTTTAAAATAGCCTATGCAGCTCAGGTTGGCCTTGAACTCACTATGTAGCCCAGGCTGTCCTTGAACTTGCGGTGATCCTTTTGCCTCAGCCTCCAAAGTGTTGGGATTACAGGTGTGCGCCATCATACCCAGCATAATTAACTTTCTAAATAGCTTTCTCAGTTAGAATTCAGCTGGATCAAGAGCTGGGGCTCATCTCTCTTGTCCCCAGCATCTGGCATACAGCCTGGTGTTATGGTTTGTGTCTTGTTGACCCCCCCCAAAGCCTCATGCAGTCATGGTGTGGGGACTTCTAGAGTTTAAGATGAACTCATGATGCACTGGGATTATGGGTTTTAGTACTCCTGGGATTATGGGTGTACTTCCCCCAGCCTGGGGCAGATAGCCTGAATGCAACTCAAGGGAGACAGACTTTCTCTTTGTAGCCATTGTTGCTGCTACTCCTCCCTTTGCTCTCTTGCTCTTTGCCGCCACCATGAAAGGTTGCCATCTGCCGTGTGCCGCTCTGCCTTGGAGCCAGCTGAGTGTGGGCTGAAACCTCCAGTAACTGTGAGCTGAATAAACCTTTCCTTCCTTCATTTTGGGTATCGGGTATTTGTCCCAGCCACGAGAGAAGAGCAACTGAGACAGAATTGGTGGGTGCCTTCACTTGTGGAATAGCCGCTGTTCTGGGGCAGATCACTGCTGACACCCCCACTCCTACCCCTCCCCACCAGCCCCTCACCTACCTGCAGCCTGACAAACAGGGCTGCACTTACCCGGCTGGCTGGAAGTGCCATGCCTTCTGGAGTAGTAGGTAAGCCCCTCGCCTGCTGGAAAAGTCCAGCTTTCCTGAGCCAGCTAGCAAGGCCCTGCCCCAGAGCCCAGGGTAAGGCACTGGACACCCAGGTCTGGGGGTGACAGAGCCCATCAGGAAGTGCCCAAGTTCACTTTTGTTCCCTTGAGGGACTTCCCAGTTTTCCTGGGGAGAAGGCATCCTGGACTCTCAGTTCTCTGAATCTCCTAGGGGAGCCGTGGAGCGGGAGACCTGTACCCTCTTCTTAGCCTCTGGTCTTGCAGCTGGGCCCAAATAGAGTGAGAATAGCCTCTCACTGAGCTCAGCGTGGGGCTCCTGGCTCCTGGACCCTTATCCCACCTACTGCTAAATAGTTTGCCTTTCGCCTGTCCTTGTTCCAGGGCTGTCTTAACTGGTTACTGTGGGGCTCACAGAACATCCTGCTTAGAGCAGCAGAGATTGGCTTGTTTTGTTTTTAAGAGGACTCAGGTACCTCAGTGGCCCTATATGAAGCAGGAAGCCGGGAGCTGAGTGAGTTAGACTTTCACTGGCAACAACTGGCTGCCCCATGGGTAATCCGCCCCTGGAAACAACCTGGAAGTAGGTTTCAGACAGAGCCCACTGGAATGCGGAACGCTTGCACAAAGCCTGCGTTTCCCTTACCCTCCCCATCCCTGTCCATGGCCCAGTGGCCACCAACCATCTACCTAGAGAGAACTAGATTTTCTGAGCTGCCCAGGTCTGGCCAGCCTCCATCAACAGACTAAGTACATCCGAAGAGCCAGGCCTCAAAGCCAAGGTTGACTGGCCACCTGGCCCTTCCAAAACTGAGAAGGAAATGTGTCACCGCACAGCATGCAATGCCCTCCCTTCTGAAGGTTCTTCAACTCAAGAAGTTTGAGGGACCAGTGTACCTGCTGTCACAACCCAGTGACTGCATGGCCCCCCACATGGGTCACCC